CCCCCCCCCCCCCCCAGATATCCTATGCTACAATGCTACAATTCTTGCACAGCCCTCGGACAGTTTCTTCTTGGTACCTGCAACCATCATGTTGTACTTGTACCTTTGCACCAACCCAGTGATATTAAAGAGCTTCTGCTTTGCCGAGCTGCCGCCACAACAGCACAGAGGGAGGGGAATGGATGCGACGCGCTTCGCCTGCGGTCGCTAATCCGCCCACTTTAAACAACTTAACTGAAGGCTTGGATCCGGGGCTATGCGCCAAATTAATACGATATCCTGACCACATAAAATCCACCCCCTTGCACAAGTGGTGTATAAGCCTCTGAGTAGGTTCAAAACCCTTAAGCACCGAACCCTTGCCACTGTTTGGGGATAGAGCGCGCTTGGAAGGCTTTGCTGGGCCGCGCATTTAGAATCGGACCAGGAAGGGAAACCTCCCAAAAAATCGCTTGTTTTGGACCAAAGCGGGTCATATCACCTCATCCAGCCCAGTTTCGTCAAACATGGCTTTCAATCCTAGACTTCACTGGCTAAACCCTGAACACTAACCCAAACCCCTGATAAAACCAAATCCTGAAACTTACTAAACCGATGTTGGTAGCATTTTGCATATCAACCCTCAACTTCCTGCAAAGGTATCATGAAAGCCGGTATAATTCCACCAGAGTGGAGCCTTCGCTGCAAAGATGTTAGCTCAAAGGCCATTTAGGGTTTAGGAGGGTTAGGGTTTACTGACTGTTACTGGGTCGAATGTTCTTCTTAGAATCATGTCATGCGCATCCCTTCCATGCATTGGTCGACACGTGGCGGAGCAATTGCTATCTACATGCCGGCAGTTATTCAAACAACGTGTCCTCAAAATGGCCATAAGGTGAAAGTCTTTTTCGGGTAGGATCTCCGCAGGAGGAGGACATTCCCAAAGGTCCTTCTTTGCCAAGGACCTTTAGACTAACCCTAAACCCTAAACCCTAAACACCAAATTTGGGTTACATTGGGTTACTAAATGGAGAGCAACTCGAGCAGGGACGCCTTTTGCGCAACGGACTTGCCCGATTGTAGTGGTGAAATGAATGCCCATGCAGGAAGTGGACAGTGCTTTCACGGAACGCTTTTATTCAGGCTGTTGCCTGAAATATATGCAGGTGCTGTTAAAGCACCTCTCCCCATTGTGTTATGTAGCCGTGAGTACGGGTTAAGGCCATTGCAGGCTCTAAGTTCTGTGCACATCAGACTGTCCGTTATAATTTCAAAAAATGCAATTGGCAAATCTCATCAATTGCTCAAGAACGCTATATATTGAAACCTGAACTGCGGAGCTATCTCCGGAAACAAGAAGCGTCACAAGGAACAGGTATCATCTGAGTCCTCATCGCACGCCAGGACTCGGCCTAGTTCGTTCCAAGAGAATGATGCATGAACTTGCTGAAGGATATCTGCGGGAGTCTTCCCACGATTGTTTGGGATGTCCATGCGCGCCCCGGCAGTTAGTAGGATGGGAATGATCTCGAACTTTCCTGTCAAAATGCAAAATGTCAAGGGAGTTGCGCCATAATGATGGTAAGCCAGAAGCGTGAGGACTGACGGACTGACGTAATGCATCGTGCGCAACGCCTTCAGCTGGAGCCACATAGCCGTTCGGGACAGCGGAATGTGCAGCTGCTCGTTCACATCTGCTGAAGCCTCGATCAAGCAAGCGATGACATCGCTCTCCCCATTGAAGGCCAGGGCACAGTGCAAAGAAAATCTTAAGCTGACCTGATGACGTATCGTTGTCAACAACTCCTTCACAACTTCAGTGCTGCCAAAGCAGCAGGCCGTCTTGAATGAGCTCACACCGGGAAAGCTTTTCAGGAGCGGGTCTGCCTTCCACTCTAAGAGGAGACGGACTCCAGGAGCATTGTCGGAAGTGCAGCACCAAGTCAGTGCAGTCGCTCGAAGAACGCAACGAGCATGGACATTGGCATGCGCTGAGAGAAGGACCTGCATGACATCATTGTTGTGGTAAACTGCGGCAAGGCTGAGGACTGGGAGACGCTTGCAAAGGTCGGCATGCCGAGTGAACTTGCCTAAGGTGTCGTTGGCATTTGCCTTGGCATCCAAAAGAGCTCGCACCAAAGTGGCTTTGCCTGCCAGCGCTGCATAGCAAAGAGGCGACCAACCAGCAGAATCACGATTCGAAACTCTTTTGAATAGGTTGTCATGCAGGAAGCGGGCTACAAAAAATCCACTGGCATCCCTGGTAGGGTCAATTTCCGTGTCAAAGGCCGGCACAAGACTCTCAATAGGATGAAGGCCCACAAAGCCCCGCAAGTAGAAGTGGTGGAGATTCAGGAGGAAGCGATACTTGTGGACATCGCCCTCTTCAAGCAGAAAGTGCAGCTTGTCCCAAAGCATTCCAAGAACTACTTTGCCAACACGAGCCCGATCCTGGGTTGCTGTTAAGGAACTTAAACTGAGTTACCATACTCAACCCCGAAGGGAGAATCAAAAGGAACATAAAATGGAAAATGACATGGAAACTGGTGTGATGCAGGCATTTAAGGAACTTAAACTAAGTTACCAAAATTGAGTATGTATATATACATATATAGTATGTAATAGGGTTTCCCCAATACAGTAACTTAAATTAAGTTCCTTAACAGCAACCCAGTATCAGACTCAATGCTGAAGATTCCTTCACCTGCCAGTTTCTCCAGATGAGGGTTGCGAGATTTAAGGGTCCAGGGGTCCCATGGTATCTCTGAGGTTCCTAAAGGTAATAGGGTTTAGGGTTTAGGGTTTGGGGTTTAGGGTCTATTCTGGGAAACCTCAAGCCCTCTCGACATCCCTGTGACCCGTGTAAAGGCTCCGAAAGGTAGCCGTTCTGTTTGAAAAACTCTGCTCGCCTGGCGGCCGGCATAAACCTAGGTGTCCAGTATTTGCCTAGATCTCCCAAACACTCATAGTGGTGGCCTATACACCCACGTGTCCTGGGGCTAAGAGCTATTAGTATGCAGGTCTTTGGGAGGCCCAGGTGCGGCCCTTACATGTTTAGTCATAAACGTCCTATATGCTACATCATACTTTCCATTTTCTTTTCCATTTTCCCTATATAACCCCGATATACTATTTAGCAGTTTCCATGTTCCTTTCCATCATCCATATTGCCATGGCTTGTGGATTTTAGTTGCGAAATGGAGGGTAGCCATGGAAAGCCTTGGAGTAACGTCGGAGTATCTGGCGATTGCACGGAATTATTGAGAATTCTTTGGGTAAAGATTGAAAAACCTCGCTTATTGTAGGAGTTCCTTGCACCAAAAAGTGAGCTACAGTCTAAACTCTTAGGACCCCCCCTTGATAACCATTTATGGAGTTTAGACTATAAACCCTAAACCCGTGCAAGTTGTTGAAATTTTGCTGCTGGACAGGCAAGTGAACCATGCTCGTTCCACGTTAGGGTTGGATGGCTGGCCGTCTTGATGGTAATCATGAAGCTATCATCACCTGAACTGCCGCTTGGCTTAATAACCCAAAGAATCCAAGTACCCAATAGTCAGGCACCTGGGCTTGGGGTACGAGTAAATATAGTACAGGTCTTAAGTACTTGGACTGTGGGTATCAATATTTTGGGTACCCCGACCACCTAGACAAGGACCCCATGACTATCAAATGACTTTCATGGGTGTCCCTTTTCTAGGGGTTGGGCTTACCAGTACCAGGTCTTTCTCATTCTAGTTGGGAATGGGTAGTAGTACGTATACGGGATATAGTCAGGAATGACAGACGACTGAGGGAGATATTCGCCAGCCGTCATCACCTTACTTACCCATGGTTAGCTAGGAATGAAGCAGTGAATCCTTACAATAGCCCCTATATAAACCATCATAGTAGTTTCCATTTTCTTCTCCATTCCTTCATTCCCACCTAACGAAAGGCCAGCTTACACATGCGATGTTCGCGAAGCGAGATTCCTTCTGAGCGCGGACAAGAAAAACGGAAGCTATGATCATTTACGCTTACAGGTTTGGGGTCGATTTATTTGGCCGTGGGGTAGAGGCTATGTAATTTATGTAACCTTTGGATCAAACAAGGGGGTATATAGGAACTACTAGAGAATGACTAAGTCACGTGCCAACTGCCTCGCCAGCTGCTCAAGTCGACACCAACCTCGGCTGAGCATAGCCTTCATTCAATCAGTAACCCGAAGGGTCCAAGTAAAGAATACTTGGATACTTACTGTAAACTTTTGGTAATAAGGTTTTGGGTAAGTATACGATTTTCAGGTGTTTGGGTTCTTGAGGCAAGCCATTTCCTATGCCCATTCTCCTAAGAGTGAGCTTACCCTGTGTAATCCCAATAGGAACCCACAAAACGTGTTAACAGTTCTCATAAACAGAACCCAGTATGATCCCTAGAAATCTCTGCAGATTCAATAATCAAAGCCCTGTGACCGCGAGCACGCCAGGTGGAGTGACTCAAATTCTGCACAGAGGGGCACAGAATCACGAAAAAGACGCACTGCGCCACGTAGTAAGGTATGCAAGTGATGGCCAACTCTCGATTTTTTGCAGCATGGGGCGACTGTCCCTGAGGACAGGAGAAATAATCATACCAAATGTAGAGGGGCGCCTGGTTGAAGTCAGCTGCTTTTAGACACTTCATTTGACCGAAATTGGCCTCCACCCCCGGTGCCAGGGACACCTCAGGTCTGAAATTGGTAGTTGCCCTAAATAGGGGGACCCCATGTAGACCCCAAAATACTATAGTCCAAAATGCTACGCCTAACTTGTGGAAACTCCCACATCTTCATTGTGCCTACAGTGTCAGGGGATTCTAGGGTTACACTAAGCGGGAGGGTTCAGGGTTTGAAATTTTCCTTCAAATAGGGATTCCTCTGCAGATCTAGGGGTATGAACAAACTGCAAAGGGGTTGTGGGGGTCCCAATAAAGGAGGGTGTTGAACTCCTAAACCCTAAGCCCTATAGTCCCCCTTAAGTAGATAGAATATGGCTGTGGGTATATTATAATAAGGTCCCCATATACTCCATATTCTAGCTACTTTAAAAGGGGACTATAGACCCTAGACCCTAAACCTTAATTAAGGAGGATGTTGAACCCGTAAACCCTGGGCCCTAGACCCTAAAAACTCTCCCACCTTGCTTCGGCCTGTGACCAAGTTCTCCAGCGCTTGCTGCCAGACCCTAAGTTGCTCCGCATCTGGATCAGGATGATGACTGTTTACCCACCTTACTTAGTGGGGGTCAGTGGGGAATACGAGAATATGTAGGGTTTAGGGTTCAGGGTTCGTAGGGAATGAGGGAATAGATTAGGTAGGGATGGCGTGGGAATTCTAGTTCCTTAGTCTGTACTAACCACCAGTAAGCTTAGTTGGTCCAGTATCATTGGTTTTTCCGAGACTAACCCTTTTGTTTATATGAGCTGTAGTCTGAACTTCGAATATCCCCCTGAATGACCCCTACAATTCTCCACTAAATAATCCCTTATCCTAGAAGCCCAGTTACCCATATGTTGGGTTCCTGTCCTTAAGACCCTATATAATTTTATACTATCTGAAACCCAAGGACCTACTATATAGGTACCTGGGCTTCTAGGGTTATATAACCCGCTTTAAGGAGTTTTCTACCCTAAACCCACTGGACAGCCCAGCCACTGGTGAGACACAAACATAGCCTTGCCCATGGTGTCCTTAAACTCATCAAGCATACCTGCTTCCATCAACTCCTCATGCGGCTGCATCTTTGTCATGGCAATCCTGGGATATTGTTGAAATGGTTTTGAATTTGATCGCTGTCATCTCATCTTGGATTCTAGCATACGTAGACGGGACTCGTTGGGGCATAAGTCTCTGCGTGCGAGTCGGTATGAGACGACCCATACAAAGACATGTAAAACATCGCTCAACGGCAGCCCAGAATCAGTGTCTGGGAAGGCACTGTCATCATGGGAAACTTATCATGTTTTCCGGCTGCCATGGCAAACATGGCCACCCAGGGGCCCCAGGGTTTACTCCAAATTTTGGAGCCCTTGGGGACCCTAGGGATATAGCCAGATCTTACGAAGGAAGCAAGGGGGTTGTATTTCGGCCAGGTACTTACACCTGCATGCGGGGATTGGTCACTTAAATCCCCCATCCTTGCGTGCAGCTTGGCTATGTTTGCCTTGTGGGTACCCTCAGAGCTTGGGCACGAAAAACCTTTCAACCGCCGACGCTGACGGGTTTGGATGAAAGAGGTCAGGAGCAAATCCGCCAGCAAATCCGCCATCAATTGTACACACACATTTCACCAAAACAGAAAAAAGTATCCGGCCTGTTAGTGCTGCTTTTGGTTGGTCAATCCCTCTTGCCACCATCTAGCATTGATCCTCAACCACAGAAATCACTCAAATGCATGAACTATGACTGCTGGCATACAGTCCCCCTTCAGTAGATAGAATATGGGGTATCTGGGGATTTTAGTATAACATACCCCTAAAATACCCAAAGCCATATTCTATCTACCTAACAGGGACTACCGTATACCCTAGGTGGACCCCCCACCC